TGGAGAACATGTCCCTAGGCAGGGCAAGTATAAACCTTCTGGCACTGCTGGGGAGGACTATCAGAGAGAGTGGCCATGTAACACACAGTAATGACTGTAAAAGTATTCACCCCTAAAGAAAGCCTCATTTTCTCCATTTGTCCTCAATTAGCCAAAGCTGGGCAGCCCTGTCGTGCTACCAACTATCTAATTTTCCAGGCTGAGGCTGCTGTGGGTCCCTTTTGCTGCTCTGGGGATGGCACAAGCAGCTCACCGAGAAGGCCAGCGGAACGTAGTTGCGGCGCCGCACCAGCTTCTTCCTGTCCCGCTCCATCTTCTCCTTCTGAGCCAGCTGCTGGTAGTACTCAACCAGTTTGTTAATCTGGAGGGAGGAACAGAGCACTGTCACCTCAGCTGCAGCATTTGCTTGTGAACTAGCTGGAGTTCCTGCTGCTTGTTTCATTGTGTTCCTAGTACCAGCTGTATTGTGCAAGCCTGTGTACCTTAATGTGTCCTAACCCACACTGTGGGGGACAAAATGACCCTTCCTTGGGAATGATGTGTGTTGGAGGGCAGTGCCCAATTCTCATTTTGAAATTCAGCAACTGAGACTTCGTTCATGAATCTGCCATGACTGCATAGAGTGATGTCATGTGGCCAACTCTGAGCAATTTGGATTGGCAGAGCAAACAGCATCTTTAGCATCTTTTCCCCCCTCCCTGAGGCTGGTCACATTCAGACTGGAGCCCTAACGGGTAAAAGGGAAGGGTGTTAAAGGTGCAGTTGTGTTTTCCAGATCCTAGACACACTTTTGATTGGAAAACAGCTTTTTTTTCACATACATACGCAGCACATTCACCTTAACAGCACCATTAGATAGGTTGGTTTCAACTGAGCTTCTTCTCAAAAGGAGATTTTACACTGCGATATCCTCAGGGGAGCCTCTAAGAGGCCTTCCCTCCATTCAAGGTGCAGATTAGGAACTGGAACTGGTATCTGAAGGATTATATAGATGCAGAAAAAGTGATTGAGAGGGCCTGACACTCTAACAGTTCTTTCTGGCTGATGCATTTCAGCCAAGCACAGCTTTCCCACTCACTCACCCTCTGTGTGTGGGGATTCTCCGGCTCCTGCCAGCCACCACTCGCTGCACAAGAGAAGAGAACAGAAAAAGCAAAGTCCACAGGAGGCTTCCAGGAGCCACACAGAAATCACATCCAACACTCAACTATCTTGGTGTTATTTATAAAATATGGCACTCCCTATTTTTGCTACACCTACCACTGCAATTGTTTAAGTTCATGTCTGTACAAATATACACCTCTCAAAGCATTGCACAGGCAGGTTTGGAATGAAGGAGCTCTGGCAGCTTTTATATTGTGTTTGTAAACAAATGTTGCTTGAGAGGTACTCAGGACAGCACCCAGGAGTCACTTCAGCAGCAGGTACCTGTGTTTATATGTGTGTCTCTTATTACTGGCTGCTGCTGTCTCTGCATCCTCAGCTCCATTTTCAGTCACAACAACACTGGAAGTCAGGATCTGCTTGGCCTACTCAACTCCACCTGACAGATATTTTCTGTACATCTCACATACCAAAAAATAGGTTAAAGCTTTGTTCTAGTGCTCTTGTGAAGAGAAAAGCCAAGTTCAAACACTGACTAGCAACTCTGGAATAAGTCTAAGTGAACAAAAGTGATGGAAAATAAATTAGGTGTTTATGCTGTCAGACTGAGCCACTTCAAAGCCTGTGAAAGCACACAAACAAGATCTCAGCTGTGGGGGAGAGTGCACTCACTGAAACAGTTTGACAGTTTTCTCACTAGTCAGGGAACACAGGCATGAAAGTGGGTCACACATTCCACTAACTCAGATCAGCTTTTCAGAGGAGCCTTCACCAACAAAGAGCTTTCCTGTGAATTTCCAACTACAACTCCAATCCCAGCCGGATATCAGTCTGGAACTGACTGCATCACCTGTTACCTTCAAAACACAAGCTGGGCTCGTGCTGCAGCTCAGTTTTGACTGTCCCTTACCAACAGACTTGTCTGCCATGCCCACGTCCCGGGAGGTCCAGCGGCAGAAGCCACAGGCCAGGTAATAAGCTTTCTTCATGGTGGTCTTGGCGGGGTCGTCGGGCAGCGGCGCGGGGATGCTGGTGGCCCGTGTGGAGAGGGTGTGCATGCAGCAGGGACAGTCAAAGCAGTTGGCACACCTGCAAACAACCAGGCAGGGCTCTGACAAGGGGCCCAGGCTGAGAAAAGTGCTCCCAACAACACATCAGCACTAAACCAACAGATCATGAATTGCTGTCACAGGAACCTGGGGGAGTCAGAGTCAGCATAAGAGCAGCAGCAGTGAGAAACATAATGTGATGCTAAAAAAACTCTGTATTATGAGCCCAGGTCATAAAAAAACCCCAAAAGTCATGAGCAGCACATGGTACATCATGGAAAGACACTCATTCCCCTAAACAGACTCAAACACAACAAGCAGCCATGAAATTTTTGAAGAGTTTCAGACAGACATGGAAAGAGGCTGTTTCAAATAGGGAGCCTTGATGAAAAAAAAAAAAAAAAGCAGCTTTACCTGTTCTTTTTCAGCTTGGCTTCAGCTGAAGGCATGTTTTCCAGGCAGCTGGGGCAGTAGTGAGAGTCAACCTGAAAAGACACAGCCATATCACACACGTTATCTGGCACACCTTTGTTCAAAAAGGCCCAAAGTGCCACATGATCCAAGAAGGATTTGTGTCTTGCAACAGCAGGGTGAAGCCAGGGAAGGCTTGAGATGCTTTTTTGGTATGCAAAACCTTAGCCCATCTCAGCCAGATTTTGATCTTTAATAACATAAATTATAAGGTTTCTTAAGTCAGAATGGATTAAATTACTCTGTCTTGTAAATGGGAAAAGATCAGCTGGGTGTTGACCTTTAGCAGTTACCAGAATCTCGTTTTTCAGCTTGAACAAAAGTTTTAACATTTTATTTTCTATTTAGACCTGAATTTATTGTGTCCTCGCAGTTACACTGGTCAGATACATACATATTTCAGAAGATGCTTTGTATCTCTCTGCTGTCACAGTGAATTTTATCAATTGAAACAACAGCAGCACGAATGGGGCCCCCTTCTTGAAGAGGAATGCAAACTGATTATTAAGCACGGCCGTGCACAATGGCTGCACTGCCCACAGCACAGTGAACTCATGATGGATAGAGCCAGGCCACAGATCCGCCCTTCAGAGGCCTCACCATTTCCTCAAGGATGCCTCTGCTGAGCTCTGGGCTGCACAGTCATTCTGTCGAGGCTTCCCAAATCTATCACAATCTCTTCATTCAAGCAGGCTTCCGCAAAACCACTCTCAGGGATTTTAATACGCGAATTTAAGAAGCCAAACCGCCCCTCCACAGCAAGAGCCACACACTCGTCCACAGCAGAAACCGAGGAGGGGCGCGGGGTTGGGGGTCCCCGCCCCTCCGCGGCCGGGCCCGATGGCCATGGGGGCGGTTGGCAGGGGGTTTGGAATCTTTTGAATCAAGGGCTGGGTCCCCCGAGGGTGAGGGGTCCCCGCGGCCCCGGCCGGGGCCGCTCAGGGGGGCTCGTCCCCCATGAGGGGAAGCCGCCCCTGTGCGCTCCCCCCAGCCAATCACAGCCCGAGCTCCGCCGATGGACAGGCACGCACAGCCAATCAACGCGCAGTCCCGCCCCATCAGTCAATCGCGGCCAATCCACGCGCTCCCTGCACGGCTAAACCCACCCTCCAGCCGCGCCAACAACCAATAGCAAAGCAGAAAGCGAGTGAGTGGCAGGAGAGCGACCCAATCGCTGCGCGCAGACAGAGCACCGTCCCTCCCGGTCCCGCCCGGTACGCGGGTGCGGCGCGGCCGGTCCGCCGTTACCTCGTGCGAGACGCACTCGAGCGAGCGGAGCTCGCTGCAGTAGCGGCAGAAGTACAGCTGCGGCAGCGGCGCCCGCAGCTCCTTCTCGCCGCGCACCAGGTACAGCACCCGCTCCGACTGCAGCAGCGACGCCATCTTGGGAGAGGGCGGGCTCCGCCGCGCCGCCGCCGGCCGACGCCGCCGCGCCTCTGGCTGACGTCAGCACGCCGGCCTGACACGTCACCCCGCGGGGCGAGAAGGGGGCGTGGCCAACAAGGGGGCGTGGCCAGTCCCTCAGTGCCACCCAGTGTCCCCAAGTGTCCCTCAGTGCCACCCCTGCCGTGGCAGCGGCACCTTCCTGGGTCCCGGGGCTGCCGAGCCCCTCCAGCCCGGCCTTGGACACTGCCGGGGGCGGGGCGGCCGCAGCTGGTCCGTGCCAGTGCTCGCCACCCTCACACAGGATTTGTCCCCAGTATCCCGTGTGTCCCTGCCCTCTGGCAGTGGGAAGCTGTTCTATCTTATCCCGTCACTCCGAGCCCCTGTCTCCATCCCTGTCCAGCTCTCCTGAGCCCCTTTAGGCACTGCAAGGGTCTCCCGGAGCTTTGCCTCCTCCAGTTTTCCCAGCCTGGCGCCCGAGCAGAGGGGCTCAGCCCTCAGAACATCTCCAGGCCTCCTCTGGAGTCACCCCAGCAGCTCCGAGGCCAGCTCATGCTGGGGCCCAGAGCTGGGCACAGCTCAGGTGGGTCTCACCAGAGCAGGGAGGGTGATCTTTTCACACCACAAAGGTGGTTTCTCCTCAGTCTCATGTCCACTAAGACAGGATCCCGACAAGAACGAACATTCCTGTGCCGTGGGATCAGCAGGAAAGCACGAGGTCTGCGGATGCTCTGCTGTGTGCAGAGGGCAGAGCTGGCATCAGCAAACCCCTCCCGGTGCGCTGCTGGAGAGCCCAAACGAGCTCCAGAGCCAGCCTGGCGTGTGGCGTGAATCCTCCATCCTCAGCCGGGATCCATCCCACACAGCGCCTGCAGTCAGCCTGGCCTGTGGTGTGAATTTGTGGCACTGTCACTCCAAATCCATCCCCACACAGTGCCCACAGTCAGCCTGGCCTGTGGCGTGAATCCCCCACTGTCACCCCAAATCCATCCCCACAGAGCGCCTGCAGACAGCCTGGCCTGTGGTGTGAGTCCTCCATCTTCACCCGGGATCCATCCCCACACAGCGCCTGCAGCCAGCCCCTGCCCTCTGCCCGCTGCTTGCAGCTCCACAGGAAACCCCTGTCCACGAGGATCTGCCGCTGCCCCGATAAAAACCCCACTGTTTTATCCGCCTGCAGCAGCTGGCGGGCAGGGAGGAGGCTGCCTGTGCACTGCTCCGGCACAGCCCGTGCCCAGGAGAGCCTGGAGGCCAGGGCTGTCTTGGCAGCATGTGGCAGGGCTTTCCACCACCAGAAACCAACAGGTTTCCCTGGGAAAAGGCAGGAGTGAAAGGTGCACTGTGTGGCTCGCACCGTGACTGACACTGAGCCTGGGTCCCAGAAGGAAAACCAGAGCGTCCCATCTTCCTTTTGCCATTCAGCATCACCAGTGGAGTGGAATATTCCGCTGGGCAGCAGAGAGAGCCTTCCCCGGCGGCGGGCTGGGGTCTGTCCCCTGTGCCCGTGTGTCTGTAAGTCACCCTGCCCGAGCCCCTGCGGACTGCGGGCGGCTCTGGAGGCGCTGGCTGCTCTTGCCCCGCTGGCTGCTCTTGCCGGGTGAGCCCTGCTGAGGCAGGAGCGGGACGGGGCAGGGAGGACCCTTTGTTAAGGACTGTGAAGTGAAATTGTCCCCACAGCCCCTCGCGGAGAGCTTCGGGCTCGGCTCCAGAGGCGCTCCCCCAGTGCAACCCCACTGTGGGTGGGATGAGGTGGAGTGCGTTCTTGTTTCATCCTGCTGTAGGAAAAACGTCCTGACGTGCTTTGCCTTTCCTTCCTTCCCCTTCCTTCCTTCCCCTTTCTCCGATCCCCTTCCCCTTGTTCTCCTCCCCTGCCGTCCCCCGCGGGCCGGGCCGGGCCGGGCCGGGCGGGGCCAGGCGGAGCCTTTCTCCCCCGGCGGGAGTCTTCCTCTCCCGGCGGGATCTGCCGCTGCCAGCGCTTCTCGCAGAGCTGGAGCAGGAGCCGCCTTCCGAGGGGGTGCCGGAGCCTGGCAGCGCCGCAGGTACGGGGATGCGGGCGGGTGGGACGGGAAGGGCACAGGCAGGGCACGGAAGGGCACAGCAGGGCACGGGCAGGGCAGACAGGGCACAGAGAGGGCACAGACAAGGCACGGGCAGGGCACGGGCAGGGCACGGGCAGGGCAGACAGGGCACAGGGAGGGCACAGACACGGCACCGACAGGGCACGGGCAGGCCACGGGCAGCTGCCGCCTCTCCCCCACGGCACCGTGTCCCCCATCCCCGAGGTGCCGGGGCAGGACGGGGCACAGCCGCGGTCCCCGGGGAGGGGGTCCCCGCTCGCCGGCCCCTCCGTCCCCTTCAGCTCATGGATAACTCGGTGACTCAGCACGAGGTGTGGGTGGGGGGACACACACACGAGGCTCCCCAGAAACGAGGGGGCTCCTAGATGAGCTGACCCCCACCATTTCCCCACGTGATGATAGACCAGTGGGACACCCGGTTGTGGCTTCTCTTTATCAGTTCCTACAACAGACAGCAGCAATTAATAGGGAAGTTTTTCCCTGGGCTTTTTTCCAGTGCCTTTAAAGCATGCTGTAAATCCTGCGGGTAATTGAAGGAGCCTTTGCCAAAGGCTCTCGAAGGAGCCCAAGGTGAAAGCTGGACCTGGCCACAGGGGTGTCCCTGGAGAGAGCAGCAGGAGGCTGTGGGGAACTCTGGCTAGGGAAGGAATGCAGGGGGCTGCCCCATCACCCCTCTGCCTTTTCCTTGCAGGATGGACCTCCCTCACCTCACGAGTCCTACCGACCTCCCCAAGCACATCCTGGATATCTGGGTCATCGTGTTGATCATCCTGGCCACCATCGTCATCATGACAGCGCTGCTGCTGTGCCCGGCCACCGCCGTCATCATCTACCGAGTGCGGACGCACCCCACGCGCAACGGCATCGTGTGAGCCCGGCACGGGGCACGGCCAGCTCGCTGTGCTGGGGCTGCAGCCATGGCACCCTGTGCCACGCACCTTCACCAGGCACCCTGAGAGCTGCAGCCTGGGCAGGAGCTGGGGTGGGCCAGCACCCCGACCTGCTCCTCTGGCTGGGTACCCACTGCTCATCTTGCCCACTGAGCCCACGGGGACTGAGGGGGAAATGACAGCGTGGGCAGCAGTGGGGAGAGCCGTGACTTTGTGGACACGTCCAGCTGGAAATATCTCACTCCATGAGAGAGGCAGGCTGGTCTCATCTTCACTGGTGACTGTCTCCTCCCAGGCAAGCAGCAAGGAGTGGAAATGCCTGACAAAGTTATTTCTCCTTTGGAGTCACAGCTGTCAAGGTGGTTGGGGGAAAAAGAGTCAAAGCAAGATGGATGTGGCTTCTGACTGTGCATTTAGTGCTTGGCTAAAAGCATCAGTGACAGAGCTTGTGCTGGCTGCACAGCAGACGTGCAGCTGGCACCAGCTTCTCCTCTACCCATTGTCTGCAGAAATGGTAGGAAAATCCTGCAGGACTCTTGGTTCCTCTGGGTCTTGTGGGGCAGAGGAGTGTGTGCAGTTCCTGCCAGCCCTCCTGTCTGCCTGCTGGCTGCACTCCCCACTCCTGATAGTGAGAGCTCCCACTGTTTGCCCAGCACACCAGCCCTGCTGGGGAGCCTGTGCATGCCTCACCTTGGCAGGTAAAGCGGGAGGAGCAGGTTTGTGCCCAGCCAGTGGCAAGGGATCATGCAAGCTCTTGTATTGCCCTTTGTTATGAAATAAATGGACTTTATCCTTCATGTGAGTGTGTCGTGCAGCTCTGTCCACGCTACGGGTGGTGTCTGGCTCTGCAGGATCTGGGATACTTTGCAGCCTCTCCAGAAGCCCTCCCTGCTCTGACCTCCTGCACTGCCTTGCCTCAAGGTCCCTGGGGTTCTCCCCAGCCTTGGAGCCCAGCAGGAAGCTCACTGCCAGCCCAGCCCCACACGCCAGGAGGGCAAACCTCAGTCTGGACCCCGTGGGTGGGGAAGGATCCCTCAGGACTTTCTGGCAGTGGTTGTGGCTGTTTTTCTCCCACTTGGGTGACCGGCACCACTTCCCTCACACCAGCCCCGTGCAGGGTCAGCGTGGCAGGAGCTCTGAGGCTGAAACAGCATCTTGGTGACTCACAGCAAGGAAGGTCACAAAAGGAACAGCATGAATCAGGAAGGATGTGGGGAAATACTACAGTGATGCTGGTGGGAATTATTTAAATCCTATTTTCTGTGCTGAAAAGAGCAGCCAGCCCTGCAGTGTTGGAAACCCTGTGTGCCATCCCTGTGTGCTTGATCCACAACAGCCAGATTTGGGTTTGCATTGGGTGGTGGGGTCAGAAAGGCAGGAGGTTCCTGGAGAAGCAGGACCTTGGGCAACACCTCCCACCTTGGGGAGGGAGCCAGCACCAGGATGCAGACCCTGGGGAGCAGAAGTGCCTGCACTGGAGCCCCTGGCTGTGGTTGTGCTGGGAGGGAGCAGACACTTATTCCTTGCCCAGCCAAAAAACATATTTCTGTTTTGAGCTGTCAACTCTCTCTTCCCCTCTTGAATTGCAGAGTTTGAGGCAAATAACCAGAGTTATTTTCCTGTTTTTCTTCCTCTCTCCCTCCCTTGTTGGCACGGTGCAGCAGCAGCTGGAGGACATTACAGATGTGCAGGGGGGGAGCAGCCCTGGCTCTGCTCTCTCCCGTGCTCCACCCCAGCATTGCTTCCCTGGGGACAATGTGGGGATGGCCAGCAGTACCAGGAATCAGAGCTGAGCAGCTTTGCTATGAGAGGAATAGGTGAGAAGCCACAAACACTGAAGTGGTTTGGGAAGAAAGCCTGGTTTGGAGAAAAACACAAGGAAAAGCATGGAACACCTCCCCCCATCCATGCAACCATCCATGATTCCTGTTCCCACTCTGCCGTCCCCTTGTCAAGAGCAGCAGAGGGAAATGAGAGATTTAATTTCTTGGTATGAATTTTCTGGGAAGTTTCAAACCCCTGGAAAACATTTCCAGGAAGGGCCTTGGAAAGATGAGTTTGCTCGTAACAACAACAAACATGGAGCTAAATGGCAGCAGAGGTAAAGCAGGGAGAAGCCACGACATTTTTTAAAGCATTAAGATGGAGGAGAATTAATTTTAACAGGGTTTCCAACACTGTCGAGTTAGAAATTCCTCCTCCAGGATGGAACGAGATAACCAAATCCCCCCGTGGCCCTGTCTCCAGTGCCTGGACAGTGCTGGAGCTTGGAGGCAGTGTTTGCATGGAGTTTTGCCAAGGAAAAATGCCTTTGTGTTGAGAAGCGTGTCCTGCTCTGGTGACGCTGTAGCAGGCAGGGTGATGTGGGCACTGAAGTGATTCAGCATCCACTGGGAAGCTTCCCTGGAGGTGCTGGCATGTGTCAGGAGCTGGCTGCTGGCCTGTGGGGGCTGCAGCTGGGCGAGGCAGATGGGGCAGTCCCAGAAGGGAGAAGGGGACACAGGATGCTGGCTCTCGCCTTGCCTCTGGGCAGCCTCCCCTTGCAGGGGAAGGGGGGACAATGGGCCAGGGGCATTTCTACAGGGAGCAAACCTTCCCCTGGAACAGGCAGGGATGGCAGTGCTGAAGGGGGCAGAGCACATAGCCTGGGGGCTCTGGGGGCACTCGGGAAGGGGAACCCCCACTCCAAAGGGTGCTGGGCACCATGCCCAGCAGGGAGGCTGCTGCTGCAGCAGGGCAGTGTGTGGGAGCACACGGGCTGGGGCAGAGCAGCGAGGGCTGGGTGAGCTGAGGGCTGGCAGCCTGGGGAAGCCTGCTGCTCAAAGAGCTGGGGCCTCTCTCCTGGCAGAGCTTGCTTTGCTTTGCTTCCCGTTGCACTCTTAGAACAAAGGTTCAGAGGTCGCCCTGGGATTGATGCCAGGCCAGGCTGCCAGAGGGAAGCTGCACTGCTGCTAGCAAGGGCAATGCTGCCTGCTGCTGCCCAAGCTCCTGCCACTGTCCTGCCACGCTGCTGGCACCATCCCTGTCCCTCTGCATGAAAATACTCCTCCGTCAGCTCTGCAATAACCCCAGCAGGCAGCACTAGATGGTCCCCACTGCTTTCACATTCCCCATGCTCAGCTGGGGCCCTGCAGCCTGGCACAAGGTCTCTGCAGCCCCGGCACGTGGCTCAGGGGACAGCCAGGGGGGCTGGTGGCAGTGGCAGCATGGCGGGGGGGAGCTGGAAGCGCCTGGCCTCCCGCCCCGGATTCCTGCCAAACATCTGCAGCAGGCGGGAGCTGGCTGCCTCCGGGCTCTGGTGGAAAAACAACCCAGCAGGACAGTTCGTGCGAGGGTCAGCCTGCCCTGCACGGCTGCTTTTTGGGGTGGGGGACCCCAGTCCTGCAGCATGCAGCCTCCGGCATGATGTGGAACAGTGCGTTGGGAACACTGGGTGACATGCCCGGCATGCCAGGGAAGATCAGCGGCACAGAGGGAGTCTGTTGGCTATGACCCATTAGCTCCTTCTCCATTTCCAACCTCCACCAAGGCTGATTTGGCACTGGGACCCAAGGAGGCGGGATTTGGATAAACAGGTCCCTTGTTTTTATTTTGGTTTTAGGAAAACTGAGTTCAGGAGTGACTCAGACTTTCACTGCTCATGGCAGGGATCAGGGACACGTGGAAGGGACACAACCACACTGTGCCACTATAACTGGATGTGGGTGGCTGTTCCTGTGGTGGGAAGCAGCGGGGCAGGGAGCACAGTCCTGAGCAGCTCCCCAGGCCTGTCCCAGCTCTGTTGCAGGAGGTGGCTCGAGCCCTGATCAGGCTCAGAAGCGTGAGCTGTGTTGGGGAGCACAGCACTGGCCACACACTGGTCCTTGCTGGTGGCAGGATGCAGAACATGCAGGCCAGGAGGTGCAGCCCCATGGCCTCAAACCTCCCTAGAGCCTGGGAAGTAGGTGGGGAGGGTCTAACCTGGATATTGGCTCCTGCAGGTTTTGGCAGGGAGCCACCTCGCTCCACTCACAGCCCTATCTGTGAGAGTCGAGTGGAGCAGCCCTGTGGCTGGCCTGGCTCTTGGCATGTTGTCATGGGCTCTGTGCAGTCCCCAGGCAGTGGCTGAGCACCCTGAGGGTTTGCCTGGACCTGGGGGAACACCCCACACTGCTTGGGGTCCAGGCAGGGCAGAGCTGCGCCATTCCCCCAGTAGCAGTGCAGGTTTAGAGCTTTGGGAAATGCTGCCAGTGACAGAGAAACCCACAGCTCCCCTGCTCCATGGCTTTTCTGTGTGCCTGGGAGATGGACCCAACCCCCAGCCCTCCCACGCCAACTGAGGCTGCAGTTGGAGCCTCACAACATCAGCCTTTCCCAGGACATGGTGTTCCTTCTGGTGAAGAACACAGATTGGGAGATTGCTCCCAGCTTCCTCTTAACCCATGGCCTCACTCCCCTTCCTTGGTGGCATCTCCAGCAGCTGGCTCAGTGACAGCATGGAGGCAGGGCTGACCCTGCTTTCTAGTAAAGCCAAACCTCCCGCTGGCACTCAGGGTCCCCCCAGGGCTCACCCACTGCCACCCCATACTGTCCTCCACCCCAGGCCAGCCTCACCCCAAAACCACAACTCCCTCCAGCCAGCTCATTCTCCCACTTAATAATTGTTTGGGGGGGATTTCAGGGAATTTACTCCTCACCACAGATATTTTCCTTGGAGACAGCCCAGGGTAAACGTTCACATTCCTTGGCTAAGCAAACAGGACCCTGGAAACTCCTGCCCCTGGGGACACCCAGCAGTGCCCTGCCCTTGACCCCGGCAGGGTCACCGTGCAGCCACAGCTGCAGAGCAGCCCCGGCAGGAGGGATCCTCCTCCAGAGCTGCCTCTAGCAGCGCCTTCCTTACGGGGCACACCGGAGAGGAGCGGGATCAGCCTTCCCCGCCCGGGCAGCACCCACCGAGCCCCAACCCGGCCTCCCCGGGGCTGCTGCCGGGTTTGGTTCCTGCTCCTCGGGTGCCACCACCCCACTCGGGAGGAAATGTCACCCTGGCTGGGTGGCCTGAGCAGGATGGGGCACCTTTCCTCCTCCACCCCGTCGCCTCCTTCCTCCTTCCCCCGATATCTCTCCCCGCACCCTGCGGTTAATCCCGGCTCGGCTAACACGTTGCATAAACCCTGGGCACATGCCGCTGCCCCGTGTCCCCCGGGTCCCCGCCAGGCCGTGGTGCCACCCCCGGGCGGTGTCCGTCCGGGTGTCCGTGTGTCCGTCCCAGAGCCCACACGGTTAACGCGGGCGGCCCGGCCCCCCCCGGCCATTGGCTCCCCCCTCGCAGCCCGCAGCTATTTCTCGGCCACCGGGCTCCGAGGTGACAGCAGGCGACAGCGGCGCTTGTCCCGGGCTGTCGGGGGTGCCGGCGCCCCGCAGCAGCCATGGGGGGCTGCTCCCGCAGCAGCTGGATTTTGCCCCTTTTCTTGGCTGGGCTCGTCCAGCTGGGGCGAAGTGAGGAGAAGGAGAAGGTAAGAGGAGGGGGACAGCCCCAGGGGCGGGCAGGGGGGTTTCGGGGGTGTGTGGCACCCTGGGGACGCGCCTGTTCCCCAGGCTCTCTGCAGGGCTCCCCGGGGCACGGCGGCCCTTTGAGCCCCCCTCCTTCCCCCTACAATCCCGGTGCCTGGATCACAGGGAGATTTTCTGAGTTGGTTCTTGCCAAGGGCCAAGAATTTCTGTCCTGGGGTTGGGGACAAAGTGGGACAGAGCCATGTGTCCCCCAAGTGACCTCCTCAGGGGCAGAGCACAGGGACTTTTTCCCTGCAGTGTCCGG